AGAAACCGCTGAAAAGTCTACAGATCTACGTCTCCAATAGGGTTTCGGAGATACAGAAGCTTACCAGCCACTTCCAGTGGCGTTACATTTCAACAAACGAGAATCCTGCCGATTTCATATCTCGCGGGCAGCGTCCCCGAGAAATGAACAAGAATGAGATTTGGTGGAAGGGACCACCGATACTGAGAACAATATCCGTTGAAGCTGCAGAGGAACCAGAACTTCCGGACGAAGAGTTACCAGAATTGTGCTCCGGAGTCAGTCTAGCTGTCACGGCCGCAACACAGAAACGAATAAAGATGTTTGATAGATTGAGTAGTTTTGAAAAAATGCTACAATCCATGGCCTACGTTGTTAGGTTTGCTAACTACATCATTTCGAAACGAAAGATAATAGTAAAGGGGCCACTGAATTCATCAGAAAGGGCACAGGCTGTTAAATTGGTGGTGCGATTGGTCCAGCAAGAGACTTTTCAACTGGAGATTCGAGCCTTGAAGGAGGATAGCAAGTCTAAGCATCGTCTATGCGGTCTCAAGGCGTTCCCAGATCCAGTCGAAGGAATTCTGAGAGTGGGAGGACGAATTAAGCACGCTTTCATTCCGTACGACAGTCGTCATCAAATGTTACTTCCGGCGAAGCATCCGGTTACGGAAGCACTCGTGAGAAATCGTCATCGAATTAACCTCCACATTGGACAAAAGGGTCTTCTAGCGATCATCCGACAACAGTTCTGGCCGCTGAATGTCAAGGCTACGATTCGGAAGATAATTCGAAACTGCACTACGTGCTTTAAGGCCAGTCCTATGAAGACAGTACAACTGATGGGTGACCTACCTTCTTATCGCGTACGACCTGCACCAGCCTTTGCGAACACTGGTGTTGACTTTGCTGGACCGTTTCTACTCAAATCTACGTCTGTGGGACGGAAGCCGTTGATCTCTAAGTCTTACATTTGCTTGTTTGTGTGTATGCTTACTCGTGCTATACACATCGAACTCGTCTCTGATCTGACGACAGAAGCCTTCCTCGCCGCACTTCGGCGGTTCACCAGCCGGCGGGGAGTTCCTTGCAAAATGTATTCGGATAACGCGACGAATTTCCAGGGTGCACAAAACGAGCTCCAGAGACTTGCAGAGATGTTTAAGAACCAGCAGGAGGCTCGGAAGATCGCTGAATTCTGCACCAGGCTAGGGTTTGAATGGTCATTCATACCACAACGAAGCCCCCACTTCGGTGGGATTTGGGAGGCGGGGGTGAAACAAATAAAGTTCCACCTCACACGAATTGTTGGAGATCGAAAGTTGTCCTACGAGGAGCTTTATACCACTCTGACTCAGGTTGAAGCTGTCCTGAATTCGCGGCCACTTGCACCGTGCTCAGATGATCCGAGCGACTTTACCGCAATCACACCGGCCCATTTCCTGATTGGGCGAGAAATGCAAGCCGTCGCTGAGCCGTCGTATCTGAATCTCCGTGAATCTACACTATCCCGCTGGCAGCTTGTCCAAACCATGTTGCAGCACTTCTGGAAGCGATGGACAGCAGAATGTTTGCCAGAACTGCGGAATAGATCGAAATGGTTGAAGCATAAAAGCATTCCGTTAGGCGCTCTTGTACTCGTCGTGGATCGAAATGCGCCACCGTTACATTGGCAGCTTGGGCGGATCATCGCTCTTCATCCCGGACCTGATGGAGTGACAAGTGTCGTGTCGTTGAGGACAACCAAAGGAGAGTAGAAACGAGCAGTGACAGAGATATGTCTACTTCCATTGGACGTGGATAACGAAGATTGAAAGGAGTTTCAACGCCGGGGAGGATGTTTGTCGATATTTTGAGCACCCCTATCATATTTCTTCTCTAGATGCCTTGTATCGCAGTAACACACATACAAACACATGTATTTTTTCTTATTTTGCTTTTATTTCGACGCAATAAAGGGAGTTGTTTTTGACGCTACAGTGAATCGGACGCGTTTCTTTTAAGGTCCGAAAAAAGTAGCTTTCTCGAAGAAATTTACAGTCCACTTTACTAAATAGAAGAGACAGTGCTCCTTCTACTTGCGTGACAAGCTTTCGTTGTTGTTTTCATTGAGGTATTACTCAGGGAACAATGTTAAACACCATTTTTGTACATGGTATTGCAACTAATCTTATATGTGCTTCATTTTGATTTGGGAGAAATGTTTGAACTATGGCTCGAGATTTCCACTGTGGTGCGCTTCTATTGTGACATAACCATACGTAATTTTGTGGGACGACATAGTGGAAACGTGTGAGCGTAGTTGGAGCATATACCCTATATAATTTAAAATCAGCTAGGAAACTAACTTCAAAATGAAGCACTTTAGTCACTTGAAGGTGTCACCTAGGACGAACTAATATATATTAAACACTGGAGTTGCTTTTTACGCGGGTGATACGTACCGCGTAAAAAAAAAACCGCGTAAATTCCGAAATCCGCCTAAAAAAAACCGCGTAAAAAGCGACACTAGTGTATAATGATAAACCGCGTAAATTCTGATATCCGCGTAAATTCCGAAATCCGCGTAAAAAAAACCGTGTAAAAAAAACCGCGTAAAAAGCGACTCCAGTGTATAGGTCCAATTAAAAAACAACTTGAAACACGTTAAATTTCAGATTACATTCACAAGTGCAGGTACTTACGTAAAACTACATAATTCGTATAAAATGTAAGTAAATCATCAATCACTCAACGAATCGATTACGTAAGTAAATATACTTCCAACTAATTAAAAATGGAAAATAACATCAAATTGAGTCGCCAACTAATTCAGTTGAAACTAAACTGTTGACAATTGAAAGCATAGTTAACTTTAACATAATTTTGATAAAACAATCATTTCATCCAGTTCACTTTAAAACAAACAAGTATGAAAGGAGATTGCTTAGAATAAAGATAAAAGTAATAAGCGCAATATTAAACGACATTAAATTTGAATCTGATACGGTAGGCCATATAACAGAGTCGATAGCCATTGCAAATCAACCATCTCTACCTGCTTATTTTCCTAACTTTCACTATTATTGCTGTTACTTTGACTATCCCCTATGTTCAACAGCTTTCCTTACTATCCGGTATCGTAAACAGGATTCATTTGACCCTGTGGTTATTATTCTGTGATGCCAAATCTATACCTCTATCCTGGTGCAGTATGGACAGCGATTTTTCGCTGGTGACTTGGCCCTATGACCCCCTTCTGTGTTTGAAAATGAAAAATGAAATGAAATGAATAAGAGATTTGGATTAAACAAGTTTATGTTTTAAGTAATCAGTCTGTACGACGTAGTCGAAGACGGTGTGCAATAATAATAATCTTGACATTTGGTGTAGTAGTATGGTGTCCGTATGAAACAGTTTGGATTCGGAAATTCGTTCGTTACGCTCTTCGCCACCTTCCTTGGAGGGATCCAACGAGACTTTCACCCTACGAAGATTGTTACCAACTCCTGGGTATTGAAACTCATGAACCTAGGCGGAAGATTCACCAGGCAGTTTTTGCAGCAAAAGTGCTGTTAAGCGAAATCGACTCTCCCGGGATTTTGGCTGACTACGAAATCTATGCACCTGAACGAGCTCTACGATCGAGGAGTTTCCTACATCCCGGACCCTGTGAAGCTAATTACGGATCATGATCCAACACGGTTCATGTCTGCCCGTTTCAATGAATTCTATGCATTTTTCGACTTCAATTGCACAAGGGAAACCTTTTCGTCGCCGGATTCAACGTAGTCTGCTGCATAGATGACGATACGGTTCGACACATGCAGCAACTGCTATCAATCATTCAATGATGACGGCCTCGACTTGACTGATCCAAGAGCAACTCCATGCCATAGGACGAGATTATGTGTTATGCCGAAGACCTGATTATTACTATTCGGTGTTTTTTTTTTATAATTGACCACTTTGTCAAGCAGTTTTGGCGTAACTTTCTGCCAGCAATTTCACAAAACTGGACCAACTTATTTCTATTTTTTATGAAACGCACAAATGATGGCTCCTTTTCTCGTGGTTCTAGAAGAAAAAATCTCAAAATAATGTTTTATTTGTAATGGTAGTCATTTTAACTGCTCGAATGAAGTGGTTAATTGTTCTATTGTTGTGTCCTTTTCAATATTGTTCCTTGTGTTTCGAAACGATATGGGGATTTTACGCCTATTATCGCAAATATTTGCCAAATAGACTTTTCCCCATCAATCTTCATTTAGACAACAAAAGTTCGATGAAGAGAATGATAAATAAATAAATAAATAGGAGACCAGCCACATTTTCCAAAACTTATGAATTATTCTAGAATCTAACAAAGAAAGAATATGAAGCACCTCGAGGATACTGCATCTCTCAATGACTAATTGTCTCTATTTAACGGGGGAACCCGAAGACAACATATCAAGAAGACTGGCAGCTCTGCCACAATCCAAAGCATAAAGGTTGAACTTGGCTTGAAGCACCGGAGATTGTATCTGTCTTTTTTTCCTGTAATCGCGCGAGTGGTCAATCTTCTGAATATGTTGTCTTCGCTAAAACCAAGCTCTTCCGCAGCTTCCACACTTTCTTAATTGGCGAAGAAGGCATTCATATCACACATACATGTACACAGATTTAACCACCCAAGCTTTCCTTGAAACAGATTGTCTATATTTGGAGATCTCACGTTTCCTTCTTTCAATAAACCGATATGTTTTATTCCTCCAATGTATGTAGGTATTTGGTGTATTTTTATTGCAAATCATTACATTACAGCCATACACAACTATCAGTCTTGTTAACCCTGGTAAAAAAAATGGCAATAAAACGTTAATTTCTCAAAGAAACAGGATTCAATTCCCAAAAAAAACAAAAACAAAAAGAAAACATCACTACAACGCTGTCTTCTTTCTACTTGCACGACCTGATTACGATAAAAAGAAAAACCAAAAAAAAACAAGCAAATAAAAACGTTACCGCTTAAACCTACATAACATACGGTTCATACTTACTCTGCACTCGTCGGATGCTGGTCAGGAACGCGGCCAGCTTCTTCTGCTCTATGTTGTCGCTGCTGCGGATAAGCTCAGCGGCTACGACCTGAAACGCGTACTCGGCCACCTTGTCAGCCAACTCCACCGTGGGCATGGGTAAGGTCACCGGAATACCGGTCCCCTCGACCACATCCTGGCTATTGGACGGTGTAATCGATCGAGCCTTCTGGACCGGCTTACCGACGGAATCCAACGACAGTTCCTTCTTGATGAAGGCCAACTTGCCGCTTGTTGGCGATGGTGTGTGACGCTGCTGTTGTTGACTAGGATGACGTTGAACCGAGGCAACCTTGGCGACTTTCTTGCCCGGTGGCGCCAGCAGCTGTGTGTCGCTCTTCCTTTTGGCCGGACCCAAACTTTCCTCCTCCTTCTGTTTGTCTCGCTTCGGGCAGCTGCACACCTTCAAATGCAGCGACTTTTTGCCATAAATCTGCCCCTGGACGTCCTCCAGCGTGAAAATGATTGCCGTTGCCCTGCGGTTGATGATTCGACAGGAATTTTGGCAGACAAACTCGAGCGAAACATTCAGCGCTGCCTGCTCCTTGATGGTCGTTCCCAGGGGAATGATGACCGCTAGGCGGTCCTTGAAGGCGACGCCTTGCTCGGTGCCGACGTACCGAGCGGATGGATTGAAACAACGCATCACGTGCGTTTTGACCCCGTCGGACAATTCTGTGAAAGAGGAAATGATTGATGATGATTAAGGCATTTTGAAAACAAGGATCACCGATGAACTTACTCATATTGCTACTATCGCTGCAGCGATGGTTCTCGCATCTGAACACCGGCTGATGCATGTCTTCCGGTGTCGAGCAAACCAGCATCGCCCGCACGTACAGCTCCTGGTAGGTCAAGGCCTGGTACGAGATGTTGAACGTACACGCCTGACCCATCTTGACGAAGACCTTGTTCAGCCGGGATGAGAACATCCAACTGGATTTGCCGCTTGTTTCCCCATTGAGGTCCACGTTGAAGTTGAACACCGGATCGTGATGCTCGTCCAAAGTAGGAGTCTTGTTCAGGTGGTCCAACAGAGCCGGCGACGGTAGCTCCAACAATGGTTTCTGCTCAATTTTCTGGTCACAAGAATCCTCCATCAATGGAGCGGAGTCTAGTCTGAGCACCTCCTGGTAGGACTCCAACTGAAGCATCATGTCACTGTCCAGGTCCATCAGGTCGTTAGTCTATGGGAGGAACAAATAAATGTGAATCAATAGATATTATCGTGCTTGGCCACCGGACAGCTTACCGGAATCTGCGACAGAAAGGTAGCATCACAATCGTCACTGGAAAAAAAAGAAACGTTCGTCAATCGTTTTTGCCTTGAGCTGACCTCAATTTTCGATATACTCACACTGGCTGCTGATTCTGGTCGTAGGTCTGATTTAGGTCCTGCGAGTCGACCATCTCGAAGGTTGTCCGTACCGTCAAATAGCAGGTGTGCTGTTGGCTGCAACGAATTAAAACACGTGTTAGTTATATATTGTCACTAGCAATCGGTTGAATGATGCAATTTCCATCCCAACTGATTCAATTCTGGCGCAATGTGCGCTTATCAGTAAACTCCTAATTCAGTAAATCGGTAATCGGTACCTATTATCGGTACCCGTACTGGTACTGCTGCAAGTGCTACACCCATCAGGGGAAATCATTTTTATCATGTGTCGCTTGAAAATTTTCCCACGGGCTGTAGTTTGATCTGTGTTCGTTCGAATATTGCTAATATATCTTCACTCGGCGGTGACTAATCTGAAACTGTTCTGCTGTCGAGTAGAAGTCCTCGCCATCTTCATCTCAGCCAAGCAAAAGGCATCGCCACGAAGAAAGATGATGGTAAGGAATATAAGAGAAAAGGAGGCTCGATCGGATGGGACGGTTGTATGGGTGAGCGAAAAAAAAAAAGGTCGGTTCGGTACCTGCTTCAGCTGATTCTTTTCTCCGGTTGCCTTTTGTGTCCATTCGAGAAAGACCCTCCTCCTTTATGTGCCATATAGCGTTGGTTTCGGCTTCGCAGGTTGATGTTACGTACATAAGTGACAAAAATTTATTCCGATCGTGTTTCTACCGAATTTGTATCGGTACAGTGCCGATAGAAAGGTTTTGGAATGGCAACTGAAAACTGAATTTCCGTTTGAAACATCTAGAATTCCATACTCTCAGCAAAACAAAAATAGCACCACTTTTTTTAAATATTAATTTCAACTCTCATCCTCTCATCCTACCTGAGATCTTTTGAATTGATTATGCTGGTAATTGTTTAGAGCACAAAAGGGGTTGGTCACTTCGCACAGTGGAAACCAGGCCATCGTGCCACCGCATTGATGACTGGGCGCACAGTCGCGGTGACACGGCGTGTGGGATTCTTACCTCACTAAAACCTCCTTGGACGCCTTGCCGTATTACTTCGGATTACGCACCTCGCTTTACCTCAGCTAATTGGCGCTTCCAGTTCGCTGATCGTCTCTCCAATTTTTGAGCCATTTAGCTCCCAGCGTCGCGTTCTACTCGGTTAACTCCGGTGGTGGATTCAGCCTGCTCTGACGAAGAGTTCTCTCGGCTTCGGCTTTCACTTCGCACTTGTGTGAGCACATTACTACGTTGACATGATCTGCGTTACTACTCTGCTGACGGCGTTAAAGGTGCCCTCCTCTCGACACATTTATTCGACGACATTCTCCGTACTAAGGGCGAGCATCTCCTCTCGCACAGCATCAAATCTAGGACATTCGAAGACCACGTGCTCTGGTGATTCTTCCACATTCCCACGCTCCGGACAGACGGGTGACGTTGTGTGTCCGACCCGATGCAGGTACTTCCTGAAGCAGCCATCACCAGACAGGAACTGTGTCAAGTGGAAGTTGACTTGTCCATGTTTCCTGTTCACTCAGGTCGAAAGAACCTGTATTAGCCTGTGTGTCCTTCTACCGTTCTCTGCTGCATCCCACTTAGCCATCGACACCGTTCTCACCCTTTTTCGTACTCCTCTGGTTTCTCTCGTCATATAGCACTCGCAGTCCTCCGCCAAGGTGATGCAGATTGGGATCATACCGGCGATAACGCATACTGCCTCCATCGAAATGGTTCTGTACGCACTCACAACTCGCATGGCCATGAGCCGGAACGTACTGCTCAATTTCCTTGGGTTCTGCTTCGTTTTCAGCGCTTCAATCCAGGCTGGACCTCCGTACCTTAGTATCGATGAGGACACACTAGCCAGAAGACGCCTCTTGCTGCTGCTTGAACCAGAATTGTTCGGCATGATTCTGACTATTGCGTTGATGACCTTCGCCGCCTTCTCACAAGCATATTCGATGTGGCTGTTAAAGTTTAGCCGGTCGTCGATCATCACTCCCAGATACTTCAGCACGCGCTTCGATGGTGTGCTCTCCAACGGTGATTTCTGCCCGGTGCACTGCTTTGCAGTTACTGACCAACATCACTTCTGTTTTGTGGTGGGCTACCTGCAGCTTCGCTCCTTGCATCCAGTTACCAATCATATCTATCGCCTCGGCCGCCAGCGTCTCACCGGTTACTGGCAGCTTGAGCGTCAGCACGCCATTGTACATTCCGTTCCACAGCGTGGGGCCTAGGAGCCTTGTGGAACTCCCACCGTGATTCTAAGCGATTTCTGCGCTGGCGTTATTGAATGCATTCTTCACAACAATCGTAATCACGGTGCAATATCGATTTCCTCTCCGCTTCTGTTTGGAAGCTTTCTCGGTTCTGTCAATCACCCTTTCGGAATCCGAACTGCCTCTCCGACAATCACGGTTTCTACCCGAAACGCTCCGTGTCCACGAACCTGGTGCAGCTCACTTCTAACTGTCTGCGATGCATGGATTCAGGATGGCAAGTCCATGCTGCGTATATGGATCTAAAAGCTGCATTTGACACGGTGGACCATAATATCTTGCTGGCCAAGCTGGAGATAGTAGTTGGCATCTCGTCAACTGCTGTGGATTGGTTCAGATCTTACTTGGTGAATCGCTATGTACATGTCAAGATTGGCGCGTCGGAATCGGATGTTTTCTCAAACAACTCGGAAGTCCCGCAAGGCAGTAAGGGAACATGCATAAATGACGTAGCATTTGAGAGGGGAGGTGGGGGTTTCAGAATTTGTGACCGGCCATGTATTGGATATAGCCAAATACGCTACGAGGGGGGGAGGAGGGGTCTAAAATTGATCAAAAATATGCTACGTCATTTATGGATGCTCCCTAACCTAGGACCGCTACTATTTTCGATCTTTTTAAACGACGTCGCCTTGCTGATACCATCAGGATGCCGCGTTTTCTATGCAGACGATACGAAAATCTACAAAATTATTAAAAGCGTCTCGGACTGCTGGGATCTTCACAATATGTTAGGTATTTTGTGCTCAAGAAATTTGATGATGCTAAAATGTAACATTATTTCCTATCACCGAAAAATCGAACCAATCATGTTTGACTATGTTCTCTACGGACGCTGTCTTGCTCGTGTAGAGCACATAAAGGATCTCGGCAATGACATCATCTCCAGAGCTAATCGACAATTGGGCTTTATTTTCAAAATTGCCGACGAGTTCCGTGACCCGCTATGGCTCAGGTCACTTTACTGCTCGCTTGTGTAATCCGTATTGGAGTCAAGTTCAGTTGTTTGGTGCCCTTTCCACGCTAGCTGGATCACTAGAATTGAATCCGTTCACCGCAAGTTTGTGAGATATGCTCTTCGTTTCCTCAACTGGCGTGACCCAACGAACTTGCCACCGTACGAGGAGCGTTGTCGAGCAATTCGAGCAATCAACCGGCAATTCAACAACTTTTTTTATACGTTCGACTTCAATGTATCAGCTGACGTGTTTCGTCATCGGCTACTTGGCCTTTTCCGTACCGTTGACCGTAACTATTTAGTTTAAGTTTTATTCATTTAGACAATAATTGTCAGTTGAATTTTTCAATAAACAAGAAACAACAATCCGTGTTCACTCTCCGTGCATTTCGTCAGCCTGTTCAGGATGATCCTCTCCAGGAGCTTTCCGACAGTATTCAGCAAGCATATGGGCCTATACGATGCAGGATCCCCCAGCGGCTTTCCGGGCTTCGGCAACAGCGCAAGCTTTTGTACCTTTCACCTATCAGGGAACTGACCCTCGTCCAGACATTTCTGCAGTACCATCCTGAACACGTTCGAGAACGTCTGGATCGCCCCCTTCAACGCCACGTTGGGAATTCCATCCGGACCGGGAGCTTTATTCGCCTTCAACCCTTTCGCTGCTGCTATGAGTTCCTCGTTGGAGACTTGTTCAACGTCGTCTTCATCTTCCTCCCCATATGGTGTAGGTGGCCAGGTCGCTTTGTCATGCTGTGGGAAAAGTCCCTCCACGATGACTTTCAGCTTGTTGGGACACATTTCAACCGGCATCGTTGGACCTCTGATCGGCATCGGAATCGCGGCACAGCTCCTTGAAACTATTTGACTTGCTCGGCTTTATCTTTCGTTTCAGTGCAGCCCTGGCCTCTCGGAACAACACCCTGCGCTCCTCCCTATCTGCTTCCGTTCTTGCTCTCTGAACGCGCCTTATGGCTAGAAGACAAGTAGCACGGAGGGTGCTAATTTCCTCGTTACTTTCGTCCTCCGTTCGCCGATACTGTACCGGATCGCCTGATGGTCACGATGGGTGTACTCTTCGCACACTCTCCAGTTCATATTTGCCATTAGCGACGTACTGCAGAAAGTGACGGCGAAAATGGATTCCCTACCATCTTCGCGGAAGGTGCTGATGGTTCCTAAGTTGGCCAGACTGACGTTCAACTTTGCCAGAGCTTCCAGCAGGCTATACCTCTGGCGTTGGTACACCTGCTCCCTCAATCCACTGCCCAAGCATTGAAATCTCCTGCGATGACGACTGGTCTCCGTCCAATGAGCTCTCCGGTGAGTCCATCTAGCATCTGGTGGAACTGCGATCAATAAAAACCTTCGTATGAGCCCGCCACCACTTGTTGAATGGGATACCTGCCCATGACTTGTATGGCCGCCATTCCTGCTCTATCCGCCACCCAGTTACCATTACCAAGAGGGGCTCGATATGGCTCTGCAATGATAGCAACGTCGCACTTCGTTTCCATTGTCGACTGCCATGTCAACAACACACTGTTTGGCACCTATGGTTAGAAATTTTTGACAAAACATTTGATAATCATAGTTGTTGACACAATCCAATTTTGGGAAACTGCTGAACTCCTTAAAACACACATCCTAATGCCTGTCCGAAGCCGTACATCATTCCGCGCGAGACTCTGCGTTCACACATTCGGACCACCACGCATACCAAAACCAGAACAATCGCTGCTGTGCTGAAAATGATCAACATCGCATGTATAACAACGATGACAACACTCCACTCAATCAATCACACATTGCAAACAGCACCGGTTGTGATTTGAAAACAAAAAGATCCTCCAAGAAATC